TTTAAACCTACTTCTATGTTTAATTATATATAAATTACATTAAAACATACAGATGAGGAAATGCAAAAGGATAAACAGCAAAGAAAGTTCATACACTTAATAGGCATTACTTTCCCCCAAATGTAGGTGTGCTTCATACATATCCAGTTTAGCTGGTTAAACTCTTGTCAAGAGAAGATTCAGAAAAACGTTTAAGAATAAGGGACATAGGGGTGGATATATGTGTGTGTGTATATGTAAAACAAAAAAAAATGTAAAAACTATGTAAAACAAAAGTATGTAAAACAGAGTCAAAGAAAGGGGAAATTTTGAAATGTAAATTTATGAAGCTGAGCCCCCTTCTGACCTCTGTATCCCAAAAGGAGTGAGAAAACTGTTTTCCAAATGACCTCAAGAATCACCTGGGCACTTACTAGGAATGCAGAGCTCAGAGGCTGGATTTAGGCTACTGAATCAGAATCCTAGGGGAGAAGCCTTGAAAGACACTTAAACTCCCTGCTCCCATCTCCCTCCCCCCCCCCTCTCTCTCACACACACACACACACACACACACACACCTTTTTTGCCTAGGCAAGTTGGGAAAACAATGGCATAAGCAAAAGGTTGACCTCCACTAGTCACTGGGATGAGCTGAGGTCTCTAGGTCATGAAATATAAAGTCTGAGTGTATTATTAATATTCCACCAAATACTGCTCTAGGAGTAAAGACATAGAAGGAACAGTATAAAAAATTATCCCAACTCAAGTTGCCTGGAAACTTCCTACAGAGGCAGCTTGGAAAAGCGCTGCTTGAAGATGATTCTCCTAGTAGGACAAACCCAAACAAAGTATCGCATGTCCTCCAATGATTTGGTTGCATTGTGTGGGGCAGCGTCCAGCACCCAACAGAAACCCGGAAACTACTGTACAGTTGACAATCCTTAGGGCTCAGAAGACAGGAAATCTAGATGCCAAAATCAGCCTTTTCCTAGAGAGTAAATTCACTAGAGACTTGGATGGTGAGGGAAGGGTGCAAGGCGGCAAGGGTGACTAGGAGGACTCCGAGGTCTCTTAAAGCTTTAAAAGCACAGTGTCCCTACTCTGTCCCTACTGTATCTTTCTCCTGATCCTTTGCTAACCTGATATTCACAGAGACAAGAAGCAAAGCAGGGTCCAGATGCTTGGGGGCCACACAAACGACCATTCTGAGGCAGATCCGTGAAATGCTTAGTCCATTCTCCTCTCTGATAGTGACCCCAGGGTAGAGTCTATGGGGGTCCTTCACATGTTTCCTTTCTGCCCAGACTTAATAGATTCCGCTAGCTAAAAGGTTCTAGCAAGTTTAAGAACGAGGTTTCAGAAAACGTTACAGGATTTGCAGTGAGCAAAAATTTTTTTAAAGCTACACTACGGGATAAAAAAAAGAAAGAAAGAAAAGAAACAGCTATGTCTCATGAAGGCACGAACTTTTCCGTAGTAACAAAAATATGTAGAGAGCCAAGTACAAACCTCAAGAACCACCCCCTCTCCTCTGGGCTGAGCTTCGGGCAGCAGCTCACCTATCAGGAGTGGTTTCTGGAGCCTGCACCCCCAAATCTGCCGAGTTAGTCGCGATTCTCCGCTTGTGCTCCAACACCCCTACCACCCCTGAAAACTCCTTAGTGCCTGCGCCTAGAGGTAGGCAGTGCCTAACACAAGGGCTCTCTTACCCGGGTTAAAGAGCACGGTCCCCTTGAGGTAGGCGTACTCCTTGGTACTGATTTCCAGACTCCAACACTTGGCAAGGAAGCTCTTGATGGCTTCAACCGCGGCGGCCGAGGGAAACTGCCCAGGCCCTGGCGGCGATGCCAATTCCGGCTGCAAGGTAGAGCGGAGCTGTGGCTGGTGGCCCTTGGTCTCCCGCCGCCTGGTGGTGAGGATCCTTTGCAGCATGCTTGGCTCTGAGGTCTCCACCGTCTCCAAGTGCAAGCGGTCCTGGGCGAGCTCCAGCAGGAGCAGGGGCGCCCAACAGCTGCGCACCAGCACCAGCTGCTGATCCAGAGGCAGCACTTGGAAGCAAGGCAAATACTTGACGAAACGCAACGTCTTCAACAAGCCTGCCGAGGCTGCCTCACAGACCACCTGTGGGCTTTTGAGGGCTACCGACCGCTGTGCGCCACACCAAGTGGCCCACCAGGGGGCCTCCAGCTGTTCATCTGGAACCGCGTGTGTTTGGTTTGCACTCCCGGTCGTGCCGTAGGGGATGCCGCCCCACTGCGGGTGGTCTTCACCGCAAAAGTAGCTGCGGTGCAGGAGCGCCACGGTCGGCCCGCTCGGCAGCCTCTCTCTACCCCTGAGCCTCTGTGCGTAGTAGGAGAGCTCCCACCAGGAGCCTCCAGGCTGTGCCTCGGACGCTTCCGGAGCCACTTGCGTTTGCTTTGCACTCGTGAGCAAGCTGTATAAGATGCTCCCCTGCCTAGGGTGGTCTTCGCCACAAAAGCAACAGCGGTACAGAAGCGCCACAGCCCGCCCGCCCGACGGCCCCTCTTCACCCACCCGGGGCTCAGCACCGCATGAGCAGCCCCAGCACGGAGCCCGGAGCCGTGCCTTGGGCGCCTCAGGAGCCGCGTGCATTAGCTTCGCATTCGTGAGCATGTTGTAGAGGATGCTGCCCTGCCGTGGGTGGTCTTCACCGCAAAAGCAGCAGCGGTATAGAAGCGTCACAGCTCGCCCTCCTACCAGTCCCTCTCTGCCCACCGGGGGCTCAGCACCGCAAGAGCAGCCCCAACACGGAACTCCCAGCCGCGCACCTGGCGCCTCAGGAGCCTCGGGAGCAGCGAGCGGTTGCTTTGCGCTCATAAGCATATTATAGAGGATGCTGCCCTGCCACTGGTGGTCCTCGCCAGCCATGGCCCGTGGCGTCCGCAGCCCGTTCTGCCCAGTGGCCGCCTCCTGGGACTTATTTATGCTGAGCGCGCACGCAGGCGCCTCCTCCTCCTCCTACTCCTCCGCCGGCAAGGGCGCAGCGCGGGGGCGCGGCTGAGTGCTTCAATGAGTTCGGCCATGACCTGGGAGGTTCAAGGGGGCAAATAGTCCTTAGAAGCTGAAAATGGAAGAATGTCAGCATAGAAGGTCCTGGGCGCTTCATCCTTTCCTTTCCCCTCTCCCCTGCCTCTCTCGGAAAGGACTGAGCAGAGTGCCTGGAGCACGGAGTTGGGGTACTGCTCCAAGGTCGGATTTGGTCCCTCTATTGAGAGGGCAAAGCGCCTAAAGGAGGAAAAAAATCTAGTTCTGTGCCATTTGTGGAAACTTTCATTAAATGATCACATTGTGTTAGTTATATTTTTTTACACCGATAAAGAGTTCTTATTTTCTGAGACCTTGAAAATAGACTGTATGCCAGCAATATCAGCTGTTAGGAATTGGTGAAAATGTCCAATCTCAAAACCCACTCAGACATTCTAACTCCAAATCTGAATTCTAATGAAGTTCCCAGGGGAGTCGCATAGCCTTAATGTTTGAAGAGCTCTGGTCAAAGAATGCTATCATCAATGTTCGGTTTCATTCAATTAGTAGTTATAAGCAGCCCCTGTATCCTAGATGCTGTGTTAAAGAGCTGGGGGACAACAGCCTGGATGTAAAGGTGACTAAAACTTGGGATTCTAATAATGACAAGGTTGTAAATGAGAGAACTTTTGATCCTTGTAGAGAATTACACTGGTAGGTGTGTAATTAACATTTCTATCTTGTCCTTCCTAAGCCAATGATAAATACAAGCACGGGGTGAGCATAAATCCTGATGTTCGTTTGTTACACAGCCTCCTTCCACACCGGCACGGAGATCAGTGAGACTCCCCAAACCACCAGGTGCGCCCTCAGCAACTAGCTGATTATTTCACCAAGCAGCTCTATAACTTCAATACCTTAGCCCTTTGAGCCTCATCTCTCAAAAACAAAATAATTATGGTTAGTAATGTCTTGTGTCCAGGCCCAGGCCCGAGGATGTGAAGCAGGGAAGGGGATTGACATAATCCAGCTGGTTTAGACTCTCTTTCCTTTTTATTTTAAGTCTTATTTTATTTATTTTTGCTAGGCTGGAGTCAAACCTAGGAGCACTCTACCGCTGCACTGCATCCCCAGCCCTTTTTTTGTTTTTGTTTTGTTTTGTTTTGTTTGTTTGTTTTTGGTACCGGGAATCGAACTTGGGTCCTTGCACTTTCGAGGCAGGTCGTAGAACCACTGAGCTAAATCCCCGGCCCTCTTTTTCTATTTTTTATTTTGAGGCAAGTTCTCACTTGTTTGCCTAGGCAGAACTCAAACTTGTGATTCACCTACATCAGTGCTGGGATTACAGACATGTGCCATGGTCAACTTTTTTTTATTTTTATTTTTGGCTTTCTTTGGATTCTCTGAAATCTGGAATTATGAGCAAAAGAGGAAAACCAGGAAGATCCTCATTTTACTTTCAACCTAAAGTTTTATTCTGTCTTTGAGAGGCTGTATGACACGATAGTTAAATCTCTCCTACTGGCACCAGGTTGCCTCAGATTTAATCCTGGCACTGTTCATTTTGTAGCTCCATGGCCTCAAGAAATGTATTACTGGCCTATTTCTGCTATAAAAGCTTACCAGGAATTTAGTGGCTTAGGAAAACATGAACATTTTTCCTTTACAGTTTTGGAGGCTAGAAATCTGAAATAGTTTTACTGGGCTAAAATCAAAATGATATTACTTTCTGGAAGTTGTAGGGAAGAATTTATTTCCTTGCCTTTTGTAACATTTTGAAGTTACCTGCATTCCTTGGCTCCTGACCATATCATTCTGACTTCTGCTTCCATCTTCTTCTATGACTCTTTTATGGATCTTTGTTATCATATCAGGCCCATCCAGGTAATCCTGTATTACCATCTCAAAATTCTTAATCACATCTTCAAAGTCCTTCTTACTCTGTAAAATAAATCCACAGGGTCTAATGATTAGGATATGGACATCTTTCGGGGGGGAACACTCTTCAGCCTATCATAGAAAAGTTACTTAAGACATCTATACCTCAATTTCTCCATATATAAAAGTAAGCAAAAGTATCTGTGAGGTAATCCTAATATATGAATTTATTCATGTAAAATGTTTAGAATATTTGATACATGATACTTATTATTTTTTTACTTTTTAAAAGTAAACATGGATTAAACTTAGGGTTAGGAGGTGATACTGCACCACCACGACTATAATTCCACCTTTCCTAGGGAGGCTAGCCCTCACCTTCCACCCATCACCTTTTGTCCCACTTTTTCTGCATGTCCACATTTCTCGAACCAGACTCAAAATACTGAATGAGTCACCTGGTCACAATAATAAGATATATTAGCTAGTGATATTAACTCATTGTCTCTTTCATTATTCGCCATTTCCAATTCTCAGGCTACTCTTTGGGGCATTGTTATTGTTGCTTAATAATCTTCATGCTTAATGAACTCACCAAGTTGAGCTGAAAGAACCAGTCTACCTGAATCCCCACCTTAAATTGCCAGTGCTAATTTAGGATTTTATTTTCTTCCAACGCCTGATGATTTCTTTAGTTATAGGATGCTTGCTGGTTATACACACACACACACACACACACACACACACACACTGCCATAGAAGTCTCTTAAGGGTGAGAAATCTGTAAATCTGTATCCAGCACTGTTTGAGACATAGTAGATACTCAAAAATGTATTTGTTGGCCAACTGTACCATTTGGAAGAGAGGATTAGATGATAGATCTTACACTCAACACAGAGACTATGAATTCCCACGCAGTTATTGCTGCACTGACTCTAGAGGGAGGAAAAAGTTAGCAGGCCTTATAGATTTAGACTTCTCTGGAGGACAGTTTTGATACTCAGGATGCTATACACACTTTACCAATGTAACAAAAGAACTGTGTCAAGGAACCTGGCCTTGAATTTTGGCTCTTCCACTCTACATATGTAACATTAAACAAGTCATCTAACTTCAGTCTTCTTATTTGTGAAATGGGGACAAAATTCTATAAACCAATATTAATATGTATACCTTGTTCTAAGCACCTAAAAAGTTATTATATTTTTCTCTCAATATGACCATTTACAGAAATGTTTTCTGCCCCTTCTACTACATTGAGACATGAAGTAACTTACCTGTACATTCATTTACTTCTTAATGATGTAACATTGAACAAAGTAGCATTTAACATTACATTTGCCTTTTCATCTATAAAATCGCAAAACGCTACTATGAACTAGTTTTAATATGTGCACTTTAGCCTTATACCCTTCAAGGGTTTTGGTCAGACGCTTTCAACTCTTCAACTATATTTTTAAATATCCTAGAAACTTAAACCCATTTTGTGTGACTTTAATCATTCACACCTTATACATATTTGATGCCTTTGAACTTCAGGCATTGTCTGAAATTGAAACTTAACTGCAGTGTTAAGAAACATGAAGGGGAAAGGAAAGAATGGAAAGGAAAAATTATGAGAAAAAAATGGAAACGAAATATGTAAATAGGGAAGGTTGTATGGGTGAAGGGCGCACAGGTAATGGGGAAAAAATAAGAACCAAGATACATCATGTACAGGTACAAGCACCCAATGATAAAAGTAAATGTATTGTATACCTAAAATGTACCAATAAAAGAATTTAAGAAAAAAAATAAAGAAACCTGAATTTATAATATATTGGTTATTGTTTCTTATTATTTACCAGTGGCAGGGTCTTCTGATTTTCTTATTTTCCTTGAAGTTGTGATATGATCTATTTGCAACTCTGAAGGACTTTCTAGACTCTTTGGACTGAGTGTTTCTAAGGAGAGATCGCCTGCTTGTCCTTCACAAGTATTCATCCTCGGAAACGTCAAGAGAAAACTGACTTCATCCTTCCACTTTCTTTTTTTTTCCTCAACAAATAGCTTCTGAAAAACAAAATCATCCAAATACACCAGTGCAAGACATTTGCACCAAGTAATGGCAGCCTGCTAGGTGCTGTAGGATTAGCAAAGGCATAACCTTCCAAGGCAGGCACAGCCTTTTCCATCTGATTTGTTCTATGTTCTCAGACCACTGTGACAGCTAGACAAAAGGACACTCATCAACTGAACCTGTCATTTGCTGGGATTGTCCACTACTGCAATTTGGATATTTACACTGACTCATTATGTGATGACCTTGGCCAGCTGGACACCTGCTCTGTAGAATCTATTATCTGTTCCAACTCAGGGTGGGAGTAAGGGCGCTCTGCCTGCCTGAATGCAACCTTCAACTTCAAAGTAATGCAGTTTTCACTAAAAGATGTAGGAGTGAAGTCCAGGTGGGAATAAAGCTAGGTAAAATTGTAAAAATGACCTTTGCCAGTACGATGCTTTTGACCAGGGAAGGCATGACGTGAAGGCATGATGATTTGAAACATGATACGAATTTTCAATTTGAGCTTAAAAGAACGGAAATGCCTTAGTATTCAGTTCCTTCAGCAACAGGCAACAGGGAGTAACAACAGTGTTTTCCTTATTTTTCAAGGTAAATGTTGGGTAAACACTGTTGTAGATGAACAGTAGCTGAAGAAACCCTAGGAGATAGCCTCCCTGATTTCCCTTTCCAAGACTCAGAATGTTTAAAGCTATATTTATGGGAGAATCAACAGGTTTTAGTTGCTGATTCATTAAATCCCTAAAGAAGATAAAATCATCATTATTTCCTTCAGATGAGCTACAGAGAAGGTAATCAGCTGCCTTAGGGTTTATATAGCTGCTGAGCTGGAATTATGAAATTATGACTCATACTCATTATAATCCTGAAATACTCCAAAATCAACTTTCCAAATCAAACCACTCCATTGAAGTAAAAATGTTCATCAAACCAACTTATCTTACTGAATCTCCCAATTTTGAATCCATAGTAATATCAGATGCTAATCGAATTGTCTAATTAATAATTTCAATGGACTGGCAGGTTTAAAAATTATTGCCCCATTGATTTTACTGGTTAGTTTGAAAATGGTTATTCCATTGACCCACATAACTTGTCCCTTAAAGTTAATGGTAATTTTAATGATGGAAGCTGCCATATTGGGGTCTGGGACTATTTTAATAGTTCCTTACTTAGAAAATTGTTTTCTTTTTCCTCCAAACTTTTCTTAGCAGCTAACTTCTCACAGTCATTGTGGCTACAGTGTACATTGAAGAGCATATTGAAGGCACTCAACAAACACCTGCTTATGAAGCAGTGAAAAACTTCTTCCACATTTAGTTCTCTTTTATCTTCACTAGGTTGCTCAGCTTTCACTGCTTTCCTCTAGTTGTGTGGGCTTTACCAATTTTGCCAGCTCTCCCTTCTGCCAAATACTAACTACATGTCTGGAGCACTCTGATTTCTAGTTTAATAATCTCTATCATGTGAGTAGAGTTGTTGAATGTATTAAATGACATTATATATCATTTAAAAAATATTAATGGTTCTTCACAAAAGTTATTAGAGCTAGGTCACAGTTTCTTTGAGTCAGCAATATCAGGATTTGTGAAGGGATATATTTCACACTTATATCAAATTTGCGCACCCAAAAGTCTCTGTACATATACATGACAAATACATTTGAAATAAGGATCACCACAATCAGTAAACCATTCAGTCTAGTGTTAAACACATTTATCATTAGTAGTGCCATCAACCTAGTTCCTTTCTCTCAGCGCACAATGACAAACATGTAAAGAGTAAAATCTGTAAATAGACATAGATGAATTTCCTTTCAGTACAACAAAATGCTGGTGATGATGAAAATCAGAACCTTTATTTCTAAACTGATGTTTTTGCCGTGATAGGTGTGTCTGGGTTACAAAAAGAAGCTGCCTTAGCTTGAGTTCATGGAAGCCAGGAATGAGGTAAGGATTATGTGCACTTACTTGATTCTGGAAGCAGTGGGAAGGAGCAAGAAAAGTGAAATTGGAAATGAGCAAAACCAATATTAAGGTGCATGACTGTAATCACTTCTGTAAGAAATAGGAGTCAATTCTACCAAGATCTCCAGACATATAGAGAATGCCTCCAAGAATTGTCCACCCCAAAGAGGGAGCAGCAGTATTTATCCATTACTTTCCATCTCCCAAGGTTAAAAGCTTTCACCATGTTTCCTCTGATGCTTGTGATATTGCAAAGTAATCAATATGAAAAAGTCACACTTGCATGATGGAATTGTCCATTCTATGTGTACTAAGAGTCAAGTATTGGAGAGTAGATAAGAGACAGGAAATCAGAGCCATCTGAGAAAGTAGCTCATGTTCCATCACCCTTAACTTACTGCCATGAGGTCAATCCATTTGATATGGAAGAGTTGATAGAAGTGACACAATAACCACCTCAAGTTTCCTTTGCTGAACTTGATTGTCTTTGAAAAGCACTATACCATTATATTCTAAGATGTCCAATTCTTTAGATAAATAAGATCTGAGTGGAGGAAGCAGGTGAGAACATTTAGCCAGCATTAGAAAATAACTTTTCCTAATGGATTCTTTATTCAGCCAGGCAGTATTACTAGCCACTGCCCTACAGACCACAAAGAAAAAACACACTGTTTACCAGTAAAAATACTGCAATTTCACAAGGTAGCCATGACTTGTACAAAAATGAGATCTGTGACATTCCTTGTATGACTTGTGCCTTTTTAAACATTTTGCCATTATTCACCGGTTTTGAAATTTTTGCAATTTGTTTAAAGGAGTTTACACAAAACCAAAAACTTTACAAAAGCCTCCAATGCCATTAGGCATGGCGGTACTCAAATTACATTACCAAGACATGATTCTTAAAGCCTTCTGACCTCTAATTGCAATGTGAGTTATCCTTATACATATCCTGCAAGTTACCTAACCAAAATAGTAGCAAATTTTATCAACTCTACCTTCAAAATGTATGTCAAATCCAATAATTTACCATTACCACCATTACTACAACCTTACCAAATAAATCACTGTCTTGTGTAACCTCAACTCCTAAAATAACCTCCTTCTAATTGCTTCTCGGCCTTTTGGCTAAGATCGAGTGTAGTATCTCAAATAACGTCCTTCTTGGTCTTCTCCATTTTTTCTCTGCTTATAGCTAAATCTGCACACAAAGAGTGATACTTCAATGGGACTGTAATTGTCCACTATTACAAAGCTTCCAATATCTTTCCATCATACCTAGGAAAATATGGCTTTTTATCCTCCAGTTATTACAATCTTACAGTATGTGACTTCCTTACAATTGAAATTCTGGTGGATGGAAGTAAAAGGTATCACTAGGTCCAGACCCTAAAGCTGATTCAATTGCCATTCAACAGCATTCAAAGAGGGCATTCCACATACAAGAAAGGACACATACAGATAAGAAATGAAACTTTTCACAACAAAGCTGTTAAAATCCACCAAAGCTGAAAGCAATGTAAATAAAGTTCAGTTTGGTATTTATCGTGCATCTAGAATTACACGTGAGAAAGAAGTAACATGTGTTATTGTAATCCTTTGATTCTGCATTTAAACTTTAATCTCTTAAAAAATACCTTCTTTTCAGACACAAAAGGTCATTTTAAATGGGTTTACCTTGTTTAGCATCCGTTAAAAGTTCATTGAGCATTTTTATTATGATTTCACATTGATTTCTCTAGGCACCCTTTTAAAGTTCTTTTATTAAGGGTTAGTAGAGCATAGCCTTTCACATTTCAAGGCCATTAAGTCCTATTAAAAGGGTAAATTGTATAATGCATTGTTTCTCTATGTGAAAATCTCAGCTGTACTCTATTAAAGTAAAGCATATTTGGCTTTTCATTAGCACTAAATCAATTACTTATAATGTAAAAGGGATGGTCAATCAATGGATTTATACTTAGGCAGAATTCTTAATGTAGCACTGGAAGCAAAGAATGTAATATTCCTTGACAGTCACAAACATAATATTCCTTGACAGTCACAAATTATTTCATTTAAAATATACCCTGCAGAGAAAGGGGAACTTTTATATGTTAGTAAGAATGTAAATTAGCATGGCCATTGTGGGAAATAGTATTCAAGATTTTTCAAAATATTAAAAATAGACCTATCAAATGCTCCAACAATACCAGTAGTGGGTATTTATCCACAGAAATAAAATCAATCTATCAAAGAGATACCTACACAGGTGTTTATTGAAGTAGTATTCAAAATAGGTAATGTATGTAATCAACCAAGATATCCAGTTGTATAAACAATGGAATACTATTGATTTCATCCTTTGTGGTGATATGGATTGAAATGAAGAACACTATGGAAAGTGAAATAAGCGAGGTACAGAAAGGCAAATACATCATGTTCTCACTTATATGTAGAAGCTATAAAAAAGTTGACATCATAGAACTAGAGACTATACTAGTGATCACTAGAGGTTAGGAAGGGCAGCAAGGAGGAGGAATTGAGGGAGGTTGGATACCAGGAATCAAAGTACAGTTACAAAAAAGTATTAAGTTCTAATGTTCAATGGAATGATAGAATGACAACAACTTATACATTTTATAAAATTCTAGAAGCAAGGAGTTTCAAGGTTCCCAAAACAAAGAAATAATAAATGTTTAAGAAGTGAAAATGCTAATTATTCTGATATTATCAGTACACATTGCACACATGTACAGAAACATCACACTCATCTCATAAATATGCACAATTATTATGGATCAATTCAAAATATACTAAAATTGTTTCATAACAGAGATACTAATAGTGCACTAAGTCCTGGCTACCCACAGTTTGGTCCTATGACCGGCAACATTACCTGGGACTTGTTAGGAATACAGAAGCTGATGTCTCAGGCCACATCTGTGGGCTTGTAATCTGTATTTGTGTAACATTCCCATGAAATCTTGAGAATCACTCTATAAATCTCTGCATCTCAAATATGGCTACATTTTAGTTTCATCTGATTACTTTAAAAATTACTGAGGCACTGGTTTAATTAGTATGAGATATAACCTGGGGATAGAGAATTTGATAAATTACCCAGTTAATTCTAATAAAAAGCTATGCTTAAGAATCATAGATATTGAAAGTAAAACCAACGTGACAGAGATACAAAGAGAATTTGGGTTAGTGTCTCTCCAGCTAAGAGGACACTGCTTCAGTAGGTCTGAGTCTGCCTCTTTGTTGGTTACACCAGCCAACTCGGAGCCCTCTCTGCATTTTGTTTCCACTTGGCATAATGCAGCAGAGGTGCTGACTGACTAACTGACTGACCTGATCATGGATGAGGCCAATGCCCAAGGAGGGAAGGTAAGCTTGGAGGGTCAGCATCTCCAGAGAGAATTAATGAACGGGGCCAGCAGTGCTAGCCCCAAGAAAAGCCCATGGCTATTGTAAACTGTAAAAACAGTGTGGGATTTTATCTGAAAGTGATTCCTTCAGTATGACATGCTCGAGTTGAGAAAGAAATCCAGAAAAACACCCACCATATTTGAGAAAGTATAATCAGGAGCCATTTTGGGAAAGGATTAATTCTTTAAGATTGAACCACAGAATGGCTTCATTTCACTGT